TCTTATCGTTTTATAGCTGGTTACTTGGTACACATTTGATACTCGGTACTCGATTCGTACGTGTAATTTCAGACTCGAGTTGATTACGATTGATTCTCGACTTAATCGAATACTTTTAAAAAACGAGTTTAGCGAGTCTAGTACTCGACTCGTCGCATCACTATTAACAATATCACCGTCAACTTTACCAGCGCTTATGGCGCGAGGGCTATTCTAGCATACAACGAAACCAGCGAATATTCCGCGACTAGTCGAGAAGGAAGAATAACCTTCGTCGAAGAAACGAAAAACTTATAACATCGCTATCGTGGTGCAGAAAGTTATTTTCCTTGGCTTGGAAAATATTATAAAATGCATAGATCGCATTTGTCGCAATTAATTAATATCGTCGATACTGTCAATACACGTGCTAACTATATAATAAACGAAATAGAATTAAAACTTCCCTCATCATACATAGATTGCGAAATTATAAAACTCACAATTAAAGAAAATTATGAAGAAATCAAACAAAGTGTCCAAACTCAAATTAATAATTTGACATTTTTAGATGTATATTTTAACATTGTATTCGTAGAGATACTTTCTCTTAAATTTAATGAAATTTCTCGTGCAATTTTACAAAAACGAAAATTTTATGAAAATCAATAAATAAATGTACATCGATAAAATATTAGGGTTAGATTCCGATATCTTTGGCGCCATAATGTAAAAGCAAATTCTGATAGTATTTTTAATGCACAACATAAGAAAAATAGTTAAAAAATTCTACGATCAATACATATCATTAATAAACAATATTAATCTTAATGACGCTGTATATAATCTATATACGTTTTCGTTTGACATTGTGTATCTTTTGTATATTGAAATAAGATGCAACAATAATTCACTTTTACGTTGTTGATTTTTTTTACGATATTGAAAATTGTTACGTACGTACTCTTGAGGAAGAGCGAAATTTTACTTATAAATCAAACTATTGTAAATGTATGAAACAAATGAATTTATTTATTAATTTGTAGTAAATAACGTTTTGTTTAAATAATTATTAACATAATGATTTTTTTAGAATAAAAATAAAATATTGTAACGTAGTAACTATTATTGATTATAATGAATCAAATGATGGAATATCAGCATCATCATCAGAACTGTCTTCAAAATTAAACTCTTCATTAATTGGTAGCTCATGTTGATATTTAGATGATTTTAGTAAATTATCTTCAATATTATTAATATCTTGTGGAAAAGGTTCAAGATTTTTCAAAATAAGTATATCTTTTTTTTCTCCATTTATCCAACCAGGATAAACTCTAGCAACGTCTTCAAAAAAGTGCATAATTTGTGATCCATGGTCATGTTGATATTCTTTTTCTAATATATTTTTCCGGTAATAATATAATGCCATATATTGATATAATGCTGCAGTGTTTTTTCGAGAAACAATTGCTTTTTTTAGGAGTCTATTTTGACATTCTAGATCGTTGATTGTGTTTGTAGAATCATTCGCTGCTACAAATTCTGCGATGCTATGATTCGTAGTATGATGTACAAGTAGATGAAATAACGTTTTCAACACCATGATATTGTTTCGCACTATCTGTACAAATTCTAGAAGTTTTGGGATCAATGAACTTCTTAATATATGGCCATAAATCGCGTTTACTTTTTCCATCTACTTTAAAGAAAATGCCAGTTTTATCTTCCTTACAATAGATACCCAAAACAACGATGGACATTTGCTCTGTAAGCCGGCCTCGATGGTATTTTCTTTTTGTTAAAAATATTTCATCAATTTGTACAGTTTTATCTTTGCCACCGAATGGTTTAACATGATGAGAACTGATGATTTCGGCTATTTCACGACAATATGAATAATAATCCACTACAGTTCCGCAGCTTAATTCTTTATCACCACGTTGATGACGCCATGAACGTAAATTTTGAATGACTTCGGTAACTTTCATTTGTAGAACAAAACAAATTAAAATTGCAACGATGTCCTGTAAACTAATTTTGCACTTTGTTCCTTCAAAAAATGTATTTTCGGTTGGATTTATGCTTTTACGACAAGATTTTGTACCTTTCTTTTTCGTTGTTTTTGTTGAACAACGCCATATCCATCCTAATTTTGAAGCACTTAATTTTTCAACTTTCATTGGTAATCCGCAACAATTGGGCGGTGCCGAGGTAGGAGAAGGAATAAGTCTCAGTTCCTCAAGAAAAGTTTGCGTGGTTTCATTTGTAGAAAGAATATCGTGAAAAATTGAAAAATTTACTAATTTTGAATGAAGACGAGGATGAATATTTGCGTACATGATAAAGTGTGAATTGTATTAACTGCTGCAGAGTACTAAACATAAATATGTATGTCAAGGACGAGCGTTATTGTAAAATGTAAACAAGAGTGTCACAATGTAGACAATGTTTTGTGTATAATGTAGTCTTATATGTACATTTACGATACATTTCAAATGAAGCTTATATTGAACTTAAAAAGTTTAACGTTAAAATTGTTTATTAATGATATCTATTGATCGTAGAATTTTTTAACTATTTTTCCCATGTTGTGCATTAAAAATACTATCAGAATTTGCTTTTACATTATGGCGCCAAAGATATCGGAATCTAACCAATATTAGGTATGGGAATAAGTTTCCGCCCTCTTGAAAGAGGTATCGCTGGAGATACTATTTTTGTGTTCGCTCAAGTACTATACTTGTGATTTGAAGGTGTATGTGTGAGGTCTCGATTGCAGTAGTTGACATTCGTTTCAAGCGTAAACATCATTTTTTATCTGGCGTCAAAAATGTCAACGTTCGTCCCGAAAAAGCAGTATTTGCGGGAAGTTATGCTTCATTATTACATTTCGAAGAAAAGTGCCGCTGAAACGTGTCGTATATTGAGCAATATTTACGGTGATCACGCTCCGTCTAATACAACTTGTAAAGAGTGGTTTCGACGATTCCAAAGTGGCGATTTTGACGTGAATGATAAAGAACGCGAAGGGGCACCGAAAAAATTCGAAGATGCACAACTGCAAGAATTATTGGATGAAGATGCATGTCGAACCCTAGAACGACGTTTGAATCGAGCTTTGAAAGAAAAACGGCAGGAATGGGACAGTAGACATGATAAACTCATTTTGCTGCATGACAACGCTAGGCTACACGTTGCTCAACCTGTCAAAAAATATTTGGAAGGAGTGAATTGGGAAATCTTGCCCCACCCGCCGTATTCCCCAGACATTGCACCTTCGGATTACCATCTATTCCGATCTATGCAGTCAGCCCTTACTGGAGAGCGGTTCATTTCTTACGAAAATATCGAAAAATGGCTCAATGAATGGATCGAAAGAACCTGATTTTTTTCTCCGAGGAATCCGTATACTGCCTGAAAGATGAGGAAAAGTTGTCGCTTCCAATGGTGCATACTTCGCATAATATCATTATGTAATATTTCATTGTTTAAATAAATATTAACTTTGTTTAAAAAAGGGCGGAAACTTATTCCCATACCCAATATAATAATAAATATTGAGTTTTTCTCAAAAAAAAATTCACAAAATACTTTTTACTACGTGTGTTTTCAATATACATATTTCCCAATATCTCCCAATATCTGTCCTTTACTGCGTCCTTTACACACGCAACAACGCGGCGTGTATTATTATTATTAGCATTAAACGAGTATTTTTTCTTATAAAGAAACAAATAATTTGTCACGGGTGATTTCCGCGAGATTCGTTGTCCGATAGCGGGAATCGGAAATCCGGGTTCGGTAGGTTTTAAAATGAGCGAGAGCGTGTGTAAGTTAACAACAAAAAAAATGTTTATTGGTTGTATATAATACAGTGTGTGTGTATACGCGTATGATCGTGAGCGCGTGTTGTGAATGTGTTTGAGCGCGATATACGGCGCGAGACGCAACTTATTCGTCGTGATATGCAGATATTAAATGCACGTCGTGCGCGTTCCGTATAAAGATATCGTGATTAATAAGGATCGTGTATTCGCGTTTACAATTCAGCGCTACTATCGTTAGATTTAAATGCTTATTTACGGCGCGTGTTATAATTCCGGCGCGGTCAATGACCGTTTGACATTACGCGTAGAGTTTTTATGTACGCGCTTCGGGAAGATCGGTCTAGCCGGCTTTTGCTGTTGACAAGAAATGCGCGCTATATTTTCAGGAAACGCTGAATGCGTTTGTTCGCAGAATCGAATCGATAATTCCCGGTAAATAAGGAGAGTTTTCAGGAACGCAATGCCGACGAGAATAACTCGTCCGAGGTAGCTCTCCTCTCTGCCTCGTGAAAGATGCACTAGCGTCTGGCGGTCGGATTAGAGACCAGTGGTCGAGAACTCTCGACGGAATCAGAGTGCACTTTTCCTGGTCGGTTTATTGATCGGATGGAATGATCTTGATCGAGGATCGAGAATGCTCGATGGAGGAAGAGTTCGCTCTACCTCCTTTCCTCGAAGCTAGATTTCTTTAGATAGGAGCGGTCTAGGTTTCGGAGCTGCTTCACTGTCATGAGCGGATCGGAAAAAGGTAATTAGTGTGCCGAACGTGCCCGTTTTATACCGGCTTAATTGCCCGCGTCGGCGCGCGGCGGTATTACCCCTTCCGAACGTGTTACGGAAAGCGGTACAGTCGGGGGCCCGCTCGGAGGGGTGCGCGCCGAACGCAGATTTTCGCCGGATCGGGACACGTCGGCAACACTCGGCGGTATTCGGCTCCCTTTCCGAAAGAGTTAAAGTAGTTTAAAAAAAATGTGGGCGCACCGTGCCCCTGCCTATGCCCGGCGGGTCTTCTGCCACTCGGCAGCTTCCGGCGGATCGCACGGGTATACGATACATCTAAGGGGGTGCACGGGGTGCATCATCCCTCCCCCTTAGATTTGTGTCTGAATTCGAAGCACTACGCTCGATGTCCGGAGCGGTGGAACGGACGGTTGTTCGGTCGGACGCCTGGATTATCTGGCACGGACGGAGCTAGTCAATTTTCCGCTTATAACGGAGTTTTCCGTCCCCGGAAAAACGCAATATCCAACGTCCTTGTGGAGTTCGCGGTTTGTAGCGCCGGCTAACATGTACCGCGAAATGCGGCACCTCAACGATCAGACCGGGCTCGATCTCCACTTTGATGGGCGGTGCAGTCATCGGTCCCATCGGCCGCAGGATCTCTTCTGGCGGCGGCTCGGCTGCGATCTTCTGCATCGGTTTCGGTTGTTTCTCATATGACCGGATCGGTCTACGCCCAGGTAGTGGCGGCGGTTGGACCAAGAGCATGAGCCACTTTTGCTCGACCCGGTCGGAGCGCTGGATCGTCGTTCCGACCCTTGGCGGCCGCGGTGGTGGCGGCTGCTCTTGCGGCTCTGGTGATGGAGCCGGAGGCGCGGACTACGCTTCAGTGGCGGAGGATTCGCCGAGGTATTCCTCGATTGCTTGCAGGATGCCTTTACTGGTCGACATGTCGAATCGAAGTGATCTACGGTATTCAATTTAGCTGTCGTCATCCTCGCTATCGTTATTTGTCGCGGTTGTTATTATTGTTATCCTCGTCCTCTGAGTCTGTTTTTGCTGATTTTAAGTCTTGTATATGGACGTGTCTCAGCCACTTTTCTCGCCTGCTCCGAAGATCCACGATCACAGGCGATATTACGACGCACTTCGTAGGGCCCGCTGTATTTTGGCGCGAGCTTTGCGTTGAAATTATCCGCTTTATTCGATAGCTGGTGATTTCTTCTCCACACCCACTCGCCAACGTGCGGTTTCCAGGTCCTCCTTCTCAAATCGTAGTACTGTTCTTGTTTTTCGAAGGCTCTGGCGAGATTGATTTTGACGAGCTCGTTAGCTTCTTCCAGCTGTCTCCTGATTGTTTCTGGAGCTGGTGTTTGATTGTTCAGCGGGTCGTCGGCCACAGATGATATTAATTCACGGCCACAGTTTAAGAATGCTGGCGTGTATCCCGTTGCGTCGTGTACGGCCGTGTTATACGCGAATTGTAAAGCGTTTATTTTTTCGTTCCAAGTTCTTTGATCCTTGCCAACGTACTGACTCACCATTGTTTTATTTAGAGCGGTTGGTCCTCTCTACTGGATTACAATGGGGTGCATATGCCAGAGTGGTTATGTGCTTGATGTTGCACTCCTCTAGTCTTTTCTCTAATTGGCGAGATCGTAATTGCGTCCCATTGTCCGACAGGATACTTTCTGGCTTGCCATGCCGCATGATGATGTTGTTTGTCACTGCGTGACGGCGTCAGCTGTGGCTCGGCGAAGTGGTACTAGTTCGGTCCATTTCGAAAAACGATCTTGCATGACTAGTAACCATGTATGTCCTCTTTTAGACCTGGGTAGCAGACCGACCAGGTCGATGCAAACCACGGTCTTCTTATTTCTGTCGCATGGAGCTTCCCTGGCGGTTTTTCTTGTGATGCTTTGTGGCTCTGGCAACTTTTGCAGTTCCGTATGTATTTTACTATGTTCCGGAACATGCCTGGCCAATAATGTCCCTCGGCAATCCTTGCAATCGTCTTTGCAATGCTGAGATGTCCGGCTGTCGGTTCGTCGTGGTATTTTTGTAAGACTTTTTGTCGCACCGGAGTTGGAATGCATAATTTCCATTGGTCATTGTTGCTTATCTCCTTAAAGTTTAATGTGTGCAGGATGTGTCGGTATAACTTTCCTTCTTTGATCTTGTATTCTGGTCTGGAGGCTGGATCCTGTTGTATTTCTTCCCACACTCGATCGTACTAGCGGCACCTCTTCCGTTCGATGGCGCAGGTCTCCGGGCATCATGACAGCGCGTCTGCCACGCGATTTTGTACTCCCCGACGGTATTTGATGTCGAATTTATATTGTTGTAGCTCGAATACCCAGCGTCCGAGTCGTCCGGTCGGAGATTTTAACTTTTGTAGCCATTTTAAGGCCTGGTGATAGGTTATAACGGTAAAAGCATAGCTTTTTAAATAACTTTTCATCCGCCGGATTCCCCAGACGATTGTCAGGCATTCGAGCTCTGTCGCGGAGTAGTTTCGTTCCGCTGCGTTTAAAATCCGGCTCGCATACGCTATCACTCTTTCTCCGTCCTCGTGTTGCTGCGTTAGAACTGCGCCTAGGCCGGAGGTGCTTGCGTCGGTTTGTAAGAAAAAACGTTTTGTGAAATCTGGGCAAGCCAGAACTGAAGCGGAAGCCAGTTTCGATTTTAATATGCGGAATGCCTCCGCCTGTTCGGTTTCCCATGTCCAGCGAGCGTTCTTTTTAGTTAATCAAGTAAGCGGTGCAGCTATTTCGGAGAAACTCGCAATGAATCGCCGATACCACGAGGCCATCCTGATAAATTGTCGAATCTGTTTGACCGTTCGCGGTTCCGGCCAGTCGGCTACTGCACTAACTTTTTCAGGATCTGTCCGGATCCCTTCCCTGTCTATGATATGCCCGAGATATTTTAACTTATCTACGCAAAATTTGCACTTATCAGGGTTCAGCCGTAGTTATGCATTTCGAAGGCGACGGAAGGTTTCGGCGAGCAGCTCGAGGTGTTCGTGTAAAATCTTACTGATTACGATAATATCGTCTAAACGAAAAATAAACGAAAACGTGAGGATCTAAGTCCGGCTCGAGGACTGCATCTAATAATTTCTGAAATGTAGCTGGTGCCGAATGCAGCCCGAATGACATTACTGTAAATTGATATAATCCCTTCCCCGGAACGGTAAATGCGGTTATTGGTCGGCTTTCTTTCGCGAGCGGAACTTGCCAGTAAGCGCTTTTTAGATCGAGCATGGACAGGTAACGCGCCTCCCTTAATTTGTCGAGCGTTGCGGTAATTTGCGGTAGCGGGTACGCGTCTTTTTGTGTAACATCGTTTACTCGGCGGAAGTCTATGCAGAATCGGTGCTTGCCATCTTTTTTTTTCACTATTACGATCGGAGAGCTTCACGGGCTATGCGATGGCTCGATCACGCCTTGCTCCATCATTTCGTCCACCTCTTTGTCGATGATAGCCTGCATGGCTGGGTTGCGTGGCCGGTATCTTTGCTTGATTGGTGTTTCGTCTTTTAATCTTATGATATGTTCCATCTTCTTAGTTAGCCCGTAGATTTTCTCGAATTCAAGTAGTTATTTCTCTAGGAACTGCTGTAATTATTCTTTTTCCTCCGGAGTTTGTACGGCTAATCCCCCGATCGTACTGCACTTTGGTAGTAGTTTCCTTACATAACTCGGTGGTGGCGGAATTCTTAGGCGTAATCTGTATTGCAGATCAATTCCGATGATTACTTTGTCCTCCATGTGTGGGAAGATGACAAAGTTATGTTTGATCGTCCGTCTGCCTATTTGACACGGGAGTTCCATGTATCCCAGTGTTTCGCCCGTGGATCCGTTTGCTAAGCCCCCCTCTCTCCTTTGGTTTTGAACCCTTTCTTGTTTAATGCTTCGGATGTGATCTGACTGATCAGGGAGATCTCTGAGCCTCCGTCCACCAGGGCGTGGTATTCTTGTCCTTGGATGTTTATTCTTACGTGTGGTCGCGGTGTGAATATTATGCGGGGGCTCGGGGTTGTGTTTGCGGCCTTGCTTTCTCCGACCCCGGAGGTGTTTCCCGCCTTCGGGTGGCAGTCTTTCGTTAAGACTCCGTCTTGACCACACTGAAAGCAGAATTTCTTTGCTTGTCTTTTGCATTGTGCGCGCGTGTGCCCCCTTTGCTTGCACCGCCAACAACAATCTTTTTTGTTGTACACTGCTGCTATAGCCGGTTTCGCGGTGTCTTTTTCGCGTTTTACTGCCTCTTTCTGTTCCTGCAATATATCCTCAAATTCCGCGGCCCGAGTCTGTGGCTCAATGCTATGTACGTCGTCGATTTTTACGTAATGTTTATACGCTGAGTTCATATTCTCGTAAATAATGTCGAGCTGCTCTCGCGAGTACCCTCCGGCCCGACGCATCAGTGTCATCATCACCGTGACGTATTGTGCAAATTTTTCCGTTGATTGTTGATGCCGCCCCAGAATTTCTCGCTGTAGTGTGGCCGCGTATCTTTGAGGCAAAAATTGTCTCCGGAAGTCGCGTTCGAATTTGTCCCATGTTTCTCATGAGTCCCGGTAATTTTTATACCACAATAAACTGTCCCCTTTTAACAGTTCCGGGAGCTCCTGCAAGAGCTGCGATGCTGTGAACCCGTATGCCTTCCTTAATTCTCTCACCCTTTCCAAAAACGCAGCGGGATCTCGGCCATCGAAATGGCATCCCCATTTACGGATCTGATTGATAGTTTTTCCGTCGTAAGCAAACGCCATTTCCGCGGCAGTGGGAGTTCGAAATTCCGCGTTCGCCGGTGTCGGGATTGACAGTCGGGGTATCGCCCCCTGGGTGCCTGCTTCCCCCGTGAATGCCTCGAACGCGTCAATCTGCTCGGAATGTTCCTCCGCGAATCGGCTAATTCGTTTGCGAAGTTCCTCCAATGTACCCGCGTCTTCTATATTTAGCGCTTTCGCCATTACAATCAACTGCTCTTTATTAAGTCTGTAAATCCACGCTTTCATTCCTTTATTCGCACGCTCTACTCGAAATCTGATTTTACTACTGTTCGGGCGCCAATGTCACGAGTGATTTCCGCGAGATTTGTCGTCGGATAGCGGGAATCGGAAATCCGGGTTCGATAGGTTTTCAAAAGAACGAGAGCGTGTGTAGGCTACCAAAAGAAATGTGTTTACTGGTTGTATGTAATACAGTGTGCGTGTGTACGCGTGTATGATCGTGAACGCGTGCTGTGAATATGTTTGATCGCGATGTTCGGCGCGAGACGCAAGTTAGATGTTCGACACAATATGCAGATTAATGCACGTCGTGCGTGCGTGGTATAACGATATTGGATGCAATAAGAATCGTACAATAGTTTATAGTCGTGTGTATTTTGAATATAATGCGCTTTTGGATCGTATTGATACCTTTAAATGCTATTACGCCTTTTGATTACGGCGCGGTCAATGACCGTTTGACGTCGCGCGTATGGTTTTTATATATGCGTGTCTGAAGGATCGGTCTAGTCGGCTTTTTGCGCTGGTTTAGTAGGAACGCGCGCTATATTTCCGCAAAATGGTTCGTATGCGTTTACAAGAAATGCGCGCTGTATTCCAGCGAAATTATTCGTATGCGTTTACAAAGAATTGTAATTCTCGGTAAGATAAGGAGAGTTTTCCGGGAACGCAGTGCTGACGAGAATAACTCGTCCGAGGTAGCTCTCCTCTCTGCCTCGTGAATAGATGCACTAGCGTCTGGCGGTCGGATTATAGACCGGTGGTCGAGAACTCTCGACGGAATCAGAGTTCACTCTGATTCCTTTTCCTGGTCGGATTATTGATCGGATGGATAGATCTTGATCGAGGATCGAGAGTGCTCGATGGAGGAAAAGTTCGCTCTACCTCCTTTCCTCGAAGCTAGATTTCTTTAGATAGGAGTGCTCTAGGTTTCGGAGCTGCTTCACTGTCATGAGCGGATCGGAAAAAGGTAATTAG